TATATATCAGTACAATCATGTAGGAGTTGCTGTATGCCTTGTTGTCATATAAGCTTCGACAAGAGTATATAGTTGTTTCATTTAGCGTTTCTATAAGACGTGGATTTATTAAAGAAGCATTTAAGTAGAAGTATTTTACGTAAAATCTATTTAAATTACTATATTATATTACATATTATAATAAATTGTTATTGTTATTTGTCATGTATTATATTATTTATACTCTTTTTTCCATATTTATATTTATCATAAAAATGGATTTTTATTAATCACTTATATATACCATATCTTCAAAATAGGAGATTTTTTTTGCCTGTCTCGGTCAATATAAATTTATACTTCACAAGTTCTATTTACGTTTGTTATTTTAAAATCTTTGCAAAGCTCAGTGAAGGCAAAGAGTTATATTTTCGGTTGATGTTGATGTTAAGCAATTTCCGGTATATTCACTTTCAATTTAAGTTGAAATGTTAGAAAAAGGCATTTTGATCCTAGGTAAATATTTTTAAATAATTTTTTATATTTTTCATTTTGTTTCCATAACTCTTTTGAAAATATATATACAACAAAAACAATTATAAATAAGAAAAAGGCTAACGTATATCTTGCATAAAATTTTAAATTAAATTAATGAAAGGAAAGTCAAAAAATAAAGTTTTATGGATTCAGCAACTTTGCTGTTAAATAAATATTAATTATTATTTTAAAAACTCACTCACTCAACTGGAATATTATAATTAAGGTGTTTTTTTTTGAGTAAGTGTATAATTTAATAGATTCTTTTAAAATAAAGTTTTATGAAGAATTGTAATTGCACTGAAAACATGATTTATATCAGATAACTGATTTATTATACATTATGATTCATTATAAAAGAAACAAACTTTAGTTTTATAATTATTTGTTAGTAAGTTTTTATCTTTTGAAAGATTTTTTGTTGTTAATATAACTAAAAAAGCAATGCTTTTCTTATTAGTTTTTATTTGTAAAAGAAAGGAAAATATTTGTTAAATTGTTGTTGTAATTGTGACTACAGTAAGTACAGTTAGTAAGTAAGTCCAGTAAGTGAGTAAGTACTGTAGTAAGTAAGTAAGTACAGTAAGTAAGTAAGTAAGTAAGTAAGTAATTAAGTAAGTAAGTAAGTAAGTAAGTAAGTAAGTAAGTAAGTAAGTAAGTAAATAAGTAAGTAAGTAAGTAAGTAAGTAAGTAAGTATCTTGGAATTATATCTATTATTATTATTATTATTATTGAAAGGAAAGTGATAGTGCACTGCGATCTAAAAGATTTATTGTGTTCCTTAGTCGTATTAGAGTGTTTTCCAAGTCTGATTTCATTAATGATAGACAGTATAGATCCTATCTTTCCTAATCTTTAATCCTTATGATCCATGAAATACCTACCTAGAAATGATATCTAATCTTCTACTACTCAACTATTTAACTGCAATCATTTCGTGGTTATTTACTTCAGAGACTTCCTTATTACTTTTTGTATTATCTAAATATCGTTCACTTAAAAATCTACCTGCATGTTATATATCAATTTCATTTTCGTTACTGCATTTGTTTCTTGTAATTAAAAATTTCAAGAAAACTGCACAACTAATTATGTTTTTGCTATTACAACTATACATTTCAGTAATTTTTTACAAAATTGTACATTTTCTTAATTCACAAGAATTATTTCGTTTCTGCTCTATTTCATGCTTTCACTTCAAATGAATTGAATGGCATTCTCCTTAAACTAATCACCTTACAAAACTAAACTGAAATAAGAAAACTTATATGCCACAATTTAAAATACAAGCAATTTAATAGACGGTTTTAATATGTCTTGTCAAAGTAGCTAAGTATTACGTTGGAAAATGAATGGCTGCTACGGTTTCCGATGAAAATGAAAGAATGACCCTATATAACTAACATATATTTCAGTTGAAATATTTAACAATTTTGAAATAAACTATACTTTCGGTTTCCCAGTTCGCTTTCAATTGAAAAGAAAATCACATTACAAACTCCTAAATGAATTTAATTTGTTACGAAATTGGCAATTTCGTTTCGTTTTCATTTTACAACGAACTCAAATGCATTTTTACACTCCTGCAATATTGCAATCGACTATAAGATATCAAATGTGTCTTGGCATCAATGCGCCAGGAGTAACTATATGTACTCAAGGATATTATATATTTATATAAAAAAGTTTTCATTTTTATAAAAAAAAAACACAAAAAACTAGATAGTTGTCTTACATATATATAAATGCATATATGAGAACCTATATGCATATATGTGCACGTAAAAATGAGTCACAAGGACATGTCAAGCGGTCTCAACATACATTCATACGTTTCCTGCACTTTGTATAGTAGAATTGTCAGTTGAATTCAATAAAGTTTTAGCAACGTGAAAGTACCTAAGAACTTAAAAGATGCTTGGACACATTCTCACCGAGTAGCACAATAAATAAATAAAATTGTACTTAAGCTTTGAGCGTTGATATTGAAAGAAAAAAAAAACGAATTTATTTTGCCGGATTTATCGACCTCACCAAATACCGTAAAATTTTTGTAAATATTTCTTATTAGCAGTTTTTCACATGGCACATGTTTTAAGAAACTTTAACTGACTCAAGCCAGCATATTAATTTTAAATTGAAGTCACGTTTACCTTATAAAACTGTAAACACAGTTTACTCAGTTTTTTCATTTGGGGTCCGACATAAATCATAAACTTAGCAGCAATAGCAGATACATCATGCTGTATATAGAGCAGCTGCATTTATTTTTCTGCCCATAGTCAACAGAGCTAACTTGAGTGACTTGAACAATTTGAATTGAATGCAGCTGAAGGGATGCAGCTGTATAAAGATACGTGTTGCTACGTTATTTTGCACTAAAATACTTCATTGTATAGAAAAGTAACAAAACAATACAACAAAAAGAAAAGAAAAAAAAAATTTAATTCTTAAATATCAAAAAATGCATATAGCAAAGCTTCATTTCACAAAAACCATAAGCAAAAAACAAAAAAATTGTCGACAATGGCAGTTGTTTGAATGCAAAAATCGTACAGATGCACTTTTCATGTTCAAGTATTGCTTGAGAAATGTTTTAGATTTTTGCAAAAAAATTTTCCACTTTTGTTTTATATACCAGCATATTTGGAGTATATGGAAAAGTATATTTGCAATATATACTTCTAAGTAAAATATATATCAAATATTCAAATGCCTATTTTTTCATTACTTTAGAAACTTTAAAAATTTAATATTTTTATTTTGTAGCAATATATGTGGTTGTTTAATTTGTTTGTACATACATTATATATTTATAAAAATGTATATATATCAAGGAAGATATATATATATAGCTATTAATTAAGAAATGTAACACAAAAGTTTCTATAAATTGTTAAAATCTTTGATTAAAAATATGTTACTCATACGTCACGTGGCGCCCTCAAAAAATACTAAATTTATTCCAAATATTTTTTGCTACTAAAATCAATTTTGTAATATAAATTCGTATTTTGTATATTTCAGTATAAATAACAAATAAGTGTTTCATTTTAACTTTATTATTGTTAATACAAACAAAAAAGTATAGCATTAAATGTGGATTTGAGCATCACGTATGTAATTATTGTCTCGAATTTCATTAGTTTTAGTTTCATCTAATTACAAACATGGCTAGAGAAATTGCTTTCAATTGTGGTTTTCTAGTAGAGAAATGTGATAATGTATTGCTAATGTGAAATGAAAATAGCAAAAATGCTAATGGAAAGGATGAATGGTGAATTCAATATTATTACAGAATTGCATAGTTTGCATAAAATGGTTACACTTAATGGTTTCACAAAATTTTTTTTTGTATAAATTTGTTAGGAAAATATTCGAACCGAGATTGATTCCATTAAACGAAATTCTATATGTCTTATCTTGAGCGATAACAGTGATACCTATTAGTGATATGCTAAGTGAGGCACTCAATTATCACTGTGCTATAAGATTGGCATCAACTTATCTAACTAATCTACAGGTACATATAGGTCAGGTACATACTTCAATAAAAATTGTATAGAAATGATATTAAAGGCTTAATACCTGTAATATAATTAAAAATGTATGAAACTATATCCTTGAAAGGATCTTAGCGTACAATTGCAAAATACATGCAAATGAGATAGAAGACTTTTACAGTTTCAGATAAACTTGAATTTTCTGGTTTCAGTTTGGAGAGTTTAAGCTTTTGAATAAGTTTTTAATTAATCAAAAAATACTAACTCATTTGACATAGTATTGATTTCAGAATAAACATTTATTCTGTGGAAATATGTATATAGAGGGTGTATAGAATAGAATATATATTATAGTATAGAATAAATATTGCTAAAAAGAATGCACCATCACTTGTGACTGTTTTAAAGTTTATTTGGATATCAGTTCCAGGTCAGTTATTTTTCTTTGGAAGACTTGTATCGCGAATATTATTCAAAATCTTCGAATGATGATGTAAGCGTCGCTCTGGTAAAACTCAAAATTAATGAAGATGTAAGAATGCACCATCGTTTGTGACTGCTTTAAAGTTTGTTTAGATATTTCAGATCAGACATTTCTCTTTCAAGGACTTATATCGCGAATATTGTTTAAAATCTTTCACTTATAATGTAAACGTCTTCCTGGTGAAACTAAAAATTAATGAAGATGTAAGAATGCACCATCGCTTGTGACTGTTTTGAAGTAGTTTCGGATATTCTACATCAGATATTTTTTTTTTGGATGACTAAAATTACGAATTTTGCCCAAAATCTTCGATTGATGGTGTAAGCATTGCTTTAATAGAA